CTACCTAAGATATTTTTCCCAGAGAAAATCTAGCTTTCAATTTTAATGAAAGCTCTTTCGGGCAGATTTTTAATATTTGACATTTAAATATCGCGAATTTCCGTAAACGCGAGCGCAGTGCGCGCGGGCGATATGCACATGTAAAATTATTTTTCTTTTTAAACGTGACCCAGATTTGCCCGGGATTGTCCCGTGAGGGATTAATCCTGCAGTCTTCCGGTGCTCTCTATACGATAGAAATTTAATGCGCAACAGGAAAAGTTATATATACGGTTCCATATCAATTCTCGGGGATCTCTCGAAACTGGGGCGAAACGATGTATTGGCTGGACCGCGCATCGCGCGTTCGCCATTAGCGCGTGACTTTCTCGCAATCCTGCACACACAGGTGTGAAGCGACGCGCGACGTCGCGCATCGTAATTCAATTTATAGAGGTCACTTTAGGGGATGAAGTGCCGGAGGAATGGAGAATCGTAATAGAAGACGCGCACCGGTCGGTTGTTTACGCGATTCACCTCGGATTCTCCCCCTCCCCCTTCAACCAGGAGGAACCGGTGATCAATCGATCGAAGGGGTTGGCTTTCCTCCGCCTCACTCGTCGCTCGACGCTTCCAACGAATACGGCGGCGGCGACGGCGGACGGATTGAAACCACCGTGCCACGGCGCGGCGTGGCGTAGGCTGATGTATCGATACCTATTGCTCCTATTTCGCGAGCGAGGAAAGCATTCGAACGCCATCGTTTCTTCCCTCTGAATGGCATCTAATCAAGGACGAGAGCGGTGTATAAATTGGGCGCGCGCTACACGAGCTTCGACATTTGATTGAAGGGTATGTATGTGTGTGTATGTATGTATATATATATATATATATATATATATATAAAAGATGCTATATATGTATATATACAAAAGAGGAAGTTTATATATACAGTTGAGAAAATATAAAAAATATTACTTGCTTTAATTCTTAGAGCAAGAGAGTTACCATTAAGAGGAAACGTTACAAGAGCACGTGTATGTTTAGATATATCTTGAAAATAAAAAAAATAAATATATTATAAGTCATCAATGCCGTTATGATAAATAAAAAGTGACCAAAAAAGTAATTTTTTTGGGCCCTCGATTTTTTGGGACTAGACTGTGATATCAATGATATCTTATAATGATATCTTATAATGAGATGTTGATCACAGACAAATTTTAGGTTGAGATGACAATTGTTATCACAACTGGAGGGGGGTCACTTATTACGTCTCTTTACGCGAAAACTCGATTTTTTTACATCCAAAACGAGCGTCATTTATGTAAAACTGCGATCAAAGATCGGAAGAGC